TGAATCCATCATAGAAAAAAAGTTCTTCAATGTGAGAAATCTACTAATTATAAATTTTGATTTAAATCACTTTATTTTACAAAATAAATTATTTTTAAAAATATTAGTGGTTTCAAGATTTCAAATGAACACTTTTATTTTTTTTGAACTAATAGTCATGGAAATAAAAATCCTATATAGTAAGTTAATTTCGTGTTCCGTTACATGTGTGAGCCACTGTAAATTACTTGATTCGAATTACCTGACTCGAGTCAACTCGTATTTTGACTCGTATTCTGACTCGATACTCTTCGAGTCAAGAAAAATTATGACTCGACGTGACTCGAGTCAAAACGAGTTGATTCGAGTCCAATCACTACACAAATTAATATCTGTTATCGTAACGGTAAGGAAATCTTATATTACCCTATCGTTATAAATTCGTACTGAATTCATAAAAATGTCCAACCTTATAACAAAAAGCAAGCACGTAAGATACGCGAAATTGCAAGGAGTGGTACGAAGTGTCACGGCACATTACATACAAGCACAGGAATAAATTCTGTATACGTTTTTGTACGGGTTTTTTTAGCACGGAACTACACGTATAAACACGTACTATTAAATTTATGCCATTCCGTTCAAAAAAACCATGACTGATGCAGAAATTAAGAATGTGAATTTATATATGCATTTTCTACAATGCAAGTTTTTAGGTATCGTGTATCTAGATTAAGATAATGTGCTACCGCTACGTAGAATTTTCAGCTGTGGAGAAATCACGTGGCAATTACATAACCCGATACATGTACATGTAGCTAGAAAGAATGCCAACTTGGGACTTGATAAATTTTTATTTTAGCTTCTAAAATTTCCTTGATTAGCTGAGCGTGAGCAGTTTCAATAATAATTTCCCACGACAAGAGAACTAAACAAAAAAATCATGTCAAAAAGAATATATAAAGGCTACGTAGCATCCGTGGAATTGCCATTTTCCTTTACGAGTTGAACCAGTAATAAGTGCAATAATCAATCTGTACATTATACAGTAGGTGATGCTTTTTGTTTATCGTTAGGACGCAAAGAAATTAGACGTTTGTGATTTTTGTAGCTAGAATTTAATTCGTTATACGTATAATATTTCGTTAAGAAATTCTAGCGCTAGAACTTTATAATTTATAAGAAAAATTTGTGGTATTCGTGATAAATGTGATGATGCTCTAGAAGCTTATTGATGTGAAAGATGGAATTGTGAGGTTCCATATTATCGGTGTAGACGTTATCATGATATTTCAAATTCGGAATATTTTGCTCCGAATGATGAAGCAAATCGTTTCAGCAAAAGAAGTTTGCTTTAATATCGAGATTTCTTTTATAGAAAGTAATAATAATATAATAGTATAAAAACTTAGCAATAAAAGATATTTGGAAGGATTAGTTCATTCATCTGTTGAAGAGAAGTTGAGATAAAAAGCTTGCTTTATTGATTTGAGGTATGCATTGTGTTCTCGTTATATTTTATAAACAACAAAATTAAATTCGGTTGTTTATAAAATATAATGAGAACACAATGCATACCTCAAATTAAAGATTAGAACCGAATTCAGTTATCGGATTAAACGGATTCGTCGTTAGGATTTTTCACTCGAAAATAATACACCCGGATTGATAAATCGGATGTGTTAATTTGGTTTGGTTATCTCTGGCTTGGTCTTAAATATAATATTTGAATCTACTTTCTTAAGATACTATATATGTGATAGATATTTCACGGTTATCTGATATATCCCCTGGATCCTAACGCCCGTGATTTTCTCACTATTCCTCACTGATACAACCTTCGATTAATAAACAAAAAAAAATGCCAAATTAACGACAAAAAAGAATGACTTTTAAATATGTCAGTTCCTATTTTTACTAGTGCACGCACTTATACCCCAGATAATTCTTCTGGAGATAGTGCTGCCACAAGTACATCAACTTCTGAACTAGAAAAAAAGCTCAATTTTACCGGAAAAAGACAGCAGTTCCAAATACTGAAAAGACCACATGAATGGATTTGAAGAATTTTGTCACATGTGAATATATTGCATCCAACAAGCAATCGATGGGATAAATGGATATATTGTTAAAAATTGATCCATTTGTGACTTTAATTTATATGACAAATATCAATTTCCTGATTTGCATGATATTTTAAATGATAAACTGTACTGTTAGATGAAAAAGAAGGATCCATGACATTAATGGTTCGATATGTCAGGGAAATTCTTGATAATGAATTTTTGGTCCTAAAAGATTGCAAGGGATACTATATAGAATTCTTCGTAATGCAATGATTTTTATATCAAAGTGGCGTACATTATCACTTCAGATCAATTCAATCTGATGGCAACATTCTATTTCATAGATATCGTAGTAAAAATAATCAACATGGAATCCAATGAGATGCTGTGCATAATACTCATATACCCATGATTCTTCTGATACTTCTGGAAGTGATTTTGTGAAATATATTTCAAAGCATTCTTCTAATACTTTTAGTAATTTTATTATATCTAAATTAGAATTGGTATGATACTGGCTAAACTTCATTGTGATCTTAATCGAGTGGCTAACTTTATGCAAGATATTGGACAAAAAGTCAAAGTCAAGTTTCCAGATGGAATTCTGATGAACTATTCTGTAAGCAAAACTGCTGCTCAAATTCTTCAAGATGCTGATACTTTAGAAGATAAAGTTATGAATATTACAGGTCATAGAAGTTTTCAAGGGTGAATGTTAATACCAATCCTTCCTCTGTGCAAGTTATAAATATCTATTTAGAGAATTCAAAGTCATCGTTTTACTTTTAATAATTGCCGCTTTTCTAATACATGTACGTATTACGTTTAATTTATAAATACATGTACATGTACTTGTCTTATGATCCATGGTGTTACATTTTAATTATGTGATTATTATACATGTACATGTAATAGAGAGGTGACAAAAATTAGGACGATCGTTAAAATCTTGATACATGTACATGTACTTGAGGATAATATGGTTCTATAATAGTTAATTTTTTATTAATATATTTACCAAGTCAAAATTTATAATATAGTAAAATTATATAACATTTTGTATACAAATGAATATTTTATAAGAAATATAAATCAAATTTTATTCATGAACTTTGAATGAGAAATTAGTTACAATGACAAGTTTTAACATTATAAATGCTTATAATAAAAAATGTTCACAAGTTTCTATTCTAGATATTTGTAAAATTTTATCAAGTTTTGCACATTAATTTATAAGATGTAATACAAAATGTAAAAATTCTTTTCAAGACACATTTATATCTTAATATAAAATGTTCACAAGCTTTTATTCTAAATATTTGTAAAGTTTCATCAAGTTTTGCACATTAATTTATGAGATGTAATACAAAATATAAAAACTTTTTTCAAAAATGTATCTATATCTTAATATAAAATAATATATTTATCATACTATTTTATTTTATTAACTATTTTCATTGACTAAAAATATACTTAAACTTTAAATATAGTGAATAACTATTAATCTTAGCAATAAAAATAAAGATAGTATAACAAATACATTATTTTATATTAAAATATAGATATATCTTGAAAAGAATTTTTACATTTTGTATTACATCTTATAAATTAATATAAAAAACTTAATGAAACTTTACAAATATTTAGAATAAAAGCTTGTAAATATTTTTTATTATTTGTATATAAAATGTTATACAATTTTACTATATTATAAATTTTGACTTGATGAATATGTTAACTATTATATAAAAGATTATTATATTAATAAAAAATTAATAATTATAGTACTATATTATCTTCAAGTATTAAGATTTTAATAATTATTCTAATTTTTTGCTATTTTTCTATATATATTATATGTTTAATACTTTGATCTATATAATTTATTTCTAGATTCTAAAATTTTAAATGCTTTAATCTGAATAATTTATTCTAAACCAATAAAGCTTTTTTGATTTTATAAAAATAATTATATACAAAACTCTAGAATTTTATATATAATAGTATTGTTACAAGTTTATTTATTAATCATTAAATTAACTTATAAACTTGGATCTAAATTGGAAGAGAGTAATAAATTGATAAAATATTAAAAGAAAAAGAGAGATATCTAAAACCTATATTAATATCTATAGAAACTGTATTTATTTAAAAAGAAATAATAATATGAAAGAGTTATAGGAGAGTAAAGATCAAAGAAAAAAGAGAATATAAAAAAATAAAGAAATAGTAAAAGAAATTTATAAAACTAATTCTCTATACTTATATAAAACTTTTTAGTAATAAGATAATATATTTAGTAATAATAATAACAAAAACTCTTTCACTTTGTTCTTTTTATAAGTAAGAAATATTTGTTAAAAATCAAAAATTTAAATAACAAAATTAAAATACTTAAAATTCAATTTTAATAATTCTAATATAGTGATTTGTTCAAGCTCAATAATCCAATAATAGTAATTTGCTTAATACAATATGATATAAGTTCAAAATTAATAATACTAATTTGCTCAATATAATATAATATAAAGTTATTAGTAATTTGTTAGGTACAATATAATATAAAATTACTTATATATATATATATATAATTTAAAGTGTATAAAAATGAGAGATAAGAGATATTTAAAAGAAGATTTTTATTAATAAAAATTTTTATTTTCAGTTATAATATATATTAAGTTAAGACTCAAATGGTATCTCTATTTATATATTTTTTGAAAATAGAATTTTAAATAATAATAACTATCTAAGAAATATAATTATTAATCAAAAGATATAATAAAAATAAAAAGTAAAATAAAAAATAAAATAAAAGATAAAAAGTAAAATAAAAGATAAAATAAAAGATAAAATAAAAAGTAAAATAAAAAATAAAATAAACAGTAAATAAAAAGTAAAAATTAAAATAAAAGATAAAATTCAAGATAAAAGTAAAATAAAATAAAATAAAAGATAAAATAATTTGAAAGATCTTTGCTATTTTTGAATATTTTATATTTTCTAATTATTTTTGAAATTAATAGTTTTTATATTATTACTATAATAGTATTTTATGAATATTTTTACAGTTAATCTTTTTTATTTAATTTAAATTGTGATAATTTTAATTGTAAAATATTAGTAAGCAGTATTATAAGTATTTATAAAATATTAATATTTAATAAATATATTTTTATAAACTTTTATAGTACAAATATAATCAAATATATATCTCAATATTCAATAATCTAATTCTTGATATTCATAATCTAATTTGAATAAAAATATTACTATTTGATTTGCCTAGTTAAGATAAATTTAATAGTAGTATTTTTTATTCAAATTAAATTACTAAATATTAAAATATTATATTTTAAAGTAATAGCTTCATTTTTTTAGTATTAACAAAAATTAATCAGCAGTTAATTTAAAATATAATATTTTAGTCTCCAATAATTTGATTCAAACAAAAATAATATTATTTAATTTTTCTATTCAATATGAATCAAATTACTAGAAATCAAAATATATATACAGTAACTTGTATAAATAATATATAACTTATATTACTAATTATTAATTATCTAATTTTTACTTATATACAATTTGATGAATGCAAAAATAATAAATAAATAATATTTAATACTATTACAATAATAATATAAAAATTGCAAATTCAAAAATAATCAAAAAACATGAAAATTCCAAAAATATTCATATAATGATAAAATTCTCAGTATTATTTCACTTTTTATTTTTCACTTTTCAGAAATTTCACTTTTTATTTTTGACTTTTTAGAAATTTCACTTGTTATTTTTCATTTTTTAATTATTTCACTTTTTATTTTTCACTTTTATTATTTCACTTTTCATTTTTTCACTTTTATTATTTTACTTTTTCAAGTTTTCACTTTTTATTTTCACTTTTACATATATTATTTCATTTTTATTATTTCACTTTTCATTTTTTCACTTTTATTATTTCACTTTTTTGAAATATCACTTTTATAATTAGTTATTTCATTTTTATATATTTTTATAATTATTTATTTTACTTTTTGTAATTTTAATAAATGTATAAATAGAGGTACTGTCTCTGAATCTTAATTTGATATATTGTAATTGAAAATAAAAATCTCTCTTAACAAAAATCTTCTTCCAAATATTTTCTGCCTCTCATATTTTCTTTATACACTTTAAATCTTGTATATAAGTGAGCTTATATCATATTGAATCTATCAAATCACTGATGGTTTTATATCATATTACACCGAGCAAATTACTGTTATTAACTTTGAACTTTATATCATATTGTGCTGAACAAATCACTGTTATTGAATTATTGAACTTTATATTATATTGTGCTGAACAAATTGCTGTATTAGAAATTATTGAAATTGAATTTATAAGTATTTTTACTTTGTTAATGAATATTTCTCACTTGTAAGAAGAACAAAGTGAAAGAATCTTTGTTATAGTTATTACTAATTATATTATCTCAGTTCTAGAAAGCTTTATGCAAGTATAGAATCACCTTTCAAATTCTCTTTATTATTTCTTTATTCTCTCTCCCCTTTCACTTTTACTCTCCCATATTATTATTTCTTTTCAAGTAAATATAATTTCTATAAAAATTGGCATAGATCTTAGATACTATTACAATAATAACATAAAAATTGCAAATTCAAAAATAATCAAAAAATATGAAAATTCATATAATGATAAAATTCTCTAATATTATTTTACTTTTCATTATTTCACTTTTTATTATTTCACTTTTTATTTTTCACTTTTTAGAAAATTCACTTTATTTTTCACTTTTATTTTTTATTTTTTAATTATTTCACTTTTTATTTTTACTTTTACATATATTATTTCACTTTTATTATTTCACTTTTCATTTTTTCACTTTTATTATTTCACTTTTTCA